TTGGCCTTTTCAATTAGCTGGCAAATCCTTGTGTGATAGTGGTAAGCTTCTTCGGTAGAGTGGCGTCAACTAAACTAATAGTCAATCAATTATTTTTGGTACACCAATAGAAAATTTAGTATACATCCCAGTGAAAAGATTCAAAGCATAAAAAAGAAAAAGAGATGTTTCCTTTTCTTCTTCTTCTTTTTCCTTAGAGACATATCAACTATCAGCAATTTTTCTGTTTAAAAATAATATTTAGAGATTGTCATGATTTTCTATGATATTGTCAAGATTATTTATCAATATAATAATATTAATATCTGGTTTCACATAGAAATGTTATGAATCTATCTGTTGAAGTGGGACAATGGTTTTGTTAGGAAGGTATCCGGCATGATGGGTAAAAATAAGCATCACATGAGGAAAATAAATAAGTTTTATTTTTTTTCAAAGATGATGAGATTAAAGTCTCATTGAGAGAGTCCAATTATACTTACATCTAATAAGGCTAGATATTTTTAAAAGAACAATACTGCAATGTGTAAAAAATAAAACACTACAAAACATAACATGTTCTTAAAAGGCATTTCAAACAAAAAAGTATAATTAAGATACTATGAAAAGCAAGTAAAAAACTCATTCTCCTTCCAGGATGAACTTTGTTTCCACAAACAAACAACTAATAAGGAAAAAAATTATACTTTTCTTCACTGTCTCTTTTTATTGTTGTTGTATATGGATATAGCCAGTTGTGCTGATACAACAAACTTGTTTCAAATTTAAGAAATTTGAAAAGCCACAAAAAGTACAATGAGTTGTATCAAAGTTCATCATTACTAACTTGTGAAAGAGAATGGAAAAAAGATCACGAATAACAAAGGACGGACGAAAACTTAGAGAACATGAGATAAGGTGATACGAGGACAAGAAGAAGGAGGAGAAAATTTAGGTGATAATTCAAAAACAAAATAGAAAGTATTAAAGAAGATAAAGAGAATGGGTAAAAAAACCTCTCACCAATAAAATAATATATATCTACAATGAAAGGTAAGTTTTCATAGAGAGAGAAACCTTTTTAAGGGAGATGACAGGAGGGGTTGACGGTTACAAAATACAAAAAGAGAAGAAAATTAGGGTTAAGAGAAAGAGATGAAAGATTTACTAAATCAAAAATTTCTTATTAGTCATCTACTCAAAAAGTCAAATTGTTGAGTCATCAACTGAACAATCTAGAACTCCCAAAAGAATGATTCTGAAAAGAAAATTGATTCTGAGGATCTAAAAGAAATTTTCATGAATTTGATCAATAATAAGAAATTTTTGATTTAGTAAATTAGATTGAAATTTTGAGACGCATAAAATAATTGTCAAAACTTCTTTTTTAACAGTTGAATAATTCTGCTATACAGAATTCCAATGCTTTAAAATATATTCAATGATATGCTCATGTTAAAAATTTGAAAAATGAAGTGATTATGGGAACTCCTTTTATTAAAACTCTTTTCCCGCTTCAAATCACGAAAGAAGGAATTTCTACTTACCATTTAGGTAAACAAATAACCTTTTTAACAGTTGAATAATTTTGCTGTGTAGTGTGTAGAATTATGCAATGATATACTCATGAGAATTGACTCTTTGTTTGATAATGTCACCATAGCCTATGTCAGAGGCATTTGTTTCAACAATTTTGAAGGTTTGAGGAATGGGAAGATAAATATATTTTATTTCTTTTGGAGAAAAGCTTACAAAGATAGTATCTCAGAGCACTTCTCTCTAGATTTCTCTCTGATAGCTAAATGAAAGGGTGTCTTATAACATGGTCGAGAATCAAGATTGAGATTGCTAGTCTTTTTCTTGAGCCTAGAGTATTTGCTGATATGGTCAGGTTTACTATAGTTGTAACAGGTTACCCCTATTCTCGATTTTCTAAGAATATTGCTGGTGATGACTTTTTTCCCATGCTTAGTTGGAGGTTTTCTATTGTATTTCTTTTTGTAAAGTTTTTTGTGGGTCTTAACCGTTTCTCTTTATTTAATTAATAATAATAATAATATTTAGATTTTAGATTATTTGATTTGTTAAATAGTTTATCAGTTGCCATATTTCAGAGGAAGTTTTTTTCAAACTGATACTAATTTTGTAGAATCAATAATTGAAATAATCAATATGTTAACTTGAAAAAAATTTAAATTACTTGAATCAAATAAGTTTTGGTTTTTTAGGACCTATTTGTTTTTCTCTTTTAAATTTAGTTTTTTTATTTTTAAAAATAAAAAATTTGTTTGTTAATTTAAGTTTTAAAAAAATTTTATTTTTAGTTTTTAAAACTAAAAATTAAAATTACTTTTATGGTTTTTTTATTTTTTTTATTTATCTTCTCAAAATTAATGAAAATTGAATTTAAAACAGTTTTTAAAAGTAAACTATCAAACAATTTTTATTTTTATTTTCTTCTTAAAAAAATTATAAAATTATTTTAAAATATAATTTTTAAAAATTGAAAATAAAAATAAATCAAATAAGCTCTCAATATTTTAATATATAAAAAATGCATTAGAAAAATCAAGTAATTTGAATAAGAGATATTGAATAATTTAAATTAAGTCAGAGATCAAATTAAACATATCCTAATCTCAATACTTTCTAAACAAATAAAAATAATATGTCAATAACATATTTTTTTGTGTAATTATATTTTAAATTATTTTATTTTATATATAATTTAGTCATTTTTTTATTTACTTACATTTTATTTTTATAATTTTTTAAATTATTTAAATTTATTTTCTCACTCCAAATTTTAAGCAGAAATTATTAAATATATCAAAGACACGATATATTATTTATTTGTAAAAAATTATAAAATAATTAAATAAAAATATTTTTATTATACTTTATACATTTTATTTATTATTTACATGTTTTATTGATTATCGGATGAGATTTAATGTGAGAGACTTAATTTAAATTTTAAACAAAATAATGTGAATAATTAAAATAAAAAATATAAATAAATTAAAGTATGAAGACTAAAAATAAAATTAAACCTATGTTTTCTTCATTAAATTTGAATTAAAATATTTTTAAGCTCTTTTATACACAAATGAGAATTGTTCTCACGAAAATAATTAATCATGACCTAACATGTATCATTTATATTAAATACGACCTCATTTTTTAGAATAAGACTTGATTTTTGTTGTTATATCGATCATATTAAATACATATTTGTATATATAAAAAATATAAATTTCAAATAAAGATACTCATATTTAAATTTTCATTTTAATTTTTTAAAATTAATTTAACGAATAACATGTTATTTTCATGATGATTTATAGATATCTAAAACTTAATGCTGATTGAACAATTTTGACTATTAATTAAAATAATTAGATTATATGAAATTTGAAAATTAAACATCTTTTAGTGAATACTTTTATTTTAAAATATATACTTCTAAAGTAAACATTTTTTTAAAATTAAACAAATCTAACAAATCACAGTCCTAAAACCTCTGAAACACATATTTGAATAGAAATTTTTAATTATCTCAAACACTAAAATAAAAATTGTCCAAATTTACCTCTTATTTTTATTTCTAAGGTAAAGGTAGTGATTTGCTCCTCTAACTTTATTTTTTATTTTAAATTTGTTTTCAAACTTTTTTGTTTAATTTAACTCTTGAACTTTAATTTTTGTCTTAATTTTAATCCTTCTGATATAATACTGCATTTTAAAATTTAGTTTTGATGAAAAAAAAAGTTTAAAGGACACAATATTGCCTGAGAAAATGACAATTATAGATTATAAATTTTTAAATCAAAACTTCTTTCCTGACCAAACAACAAGCTTAAAAAAAGTAAAATAGTTATATACATTTTTTAGTAAAAAAAAAATAAAGCATAGAAAATTTACCATAAATTTTCTGTTTTAGTTAATATTATTTTAATACTAAATAATAATATAATTAAACTCCGAAGACAAATAAAATTAATAAAGAAATGTTAATTATACAATAAAATTGTATAATTTTTGCAATAAAGAGAAATAGAAAATACAATTATTATTATAAAAATATATGGGAAAATATCGTCTCTGAAATTAATATATTGTTGTTTTGCACGTATTTCGGTGAATGCTTATGAATCCGAAAATTAAGTTTTTCGATGTACTTTCATAAGAGGCAAATTACTATTCTCTGATCAATGGGTCAAATGAAACTCCCAAGATTCCAAAACAAGCAAACCGTAGTTAGCTAACGATTAGTTATTAATATATCAAAGGATACAACGAAAGCTTAATTTACATTAATAACATTAAATGTTATTTTTTAATAAAATATATTATTTAATGTATTTCTTAAATCACAAATCAAATAAATCAATTAATTATAATTGTTTTTATGAAGTAATATTTTGATATGATGAAAAAGATTTTAATAAAAAAGTAAAGGTCGATGTACTTAGGATTCTGTTTGGATCAACTCAGTTGAATTCTGAGTGGCGTTAGTCTTCCGGCAATTATAATAGATTTGACATATTCAGTTGGACTCAAGGATACCTAACCCGTCCCATGTATGGAAGAGTTTAGGTGATGAGTGAAATTAGGAAGAAAAAAAAATAAAAAGTTTTATGCACCTTTCTTCCTTCCATTCAAACCCTCCTTCTCCCCTACTTCACTCCCTCCCCAAACTAAACACGTCCTAAATTTTGCTTTAGCTAAGTATAAGTTTCAAGTTCAATTTATCCCATACTATTTATTATTTAAATGCTTTTTTTAGCAAAAAATCAGCTAAGGTAATTTGATTATGTGAAAAAAAAAAAGACTTTTGAAAGCACCATTAAAAAAAATAGATTACAATATATCGATATTGTTGCTCTCTTTTTAGCTACTTTCAAGAGTTTATTAAAATCAGCATATAATTTTTTTCACATGTAATTTTTACAAGTAATAACACTGGAAATATAAATATCTCTCAAAGATTAAAAAAAAATCATGAATTGTGACTTATGCTTAAGAAATAATTACTTTTTATAAAATAAAAGGTTTGCATAGAAATGAGCTGTTTGCTCTACATCTATATATATGAATGAATGCATATTCTTATCTATAACCTACCTCAACTTTTGTTTCGCCTGGACTATAATAAAAACTAAATTGAACATAGAGATTTGAAGAGAAAAATATGTACTGGTGCAATCCAACAGAAACTTTGAATGCGTCATTCACTTTTCATTCCAAGCTCATGCTTCTTTTTCTGCCCGACTTCCACAAGTAGAGTCAAGAGAGCCTCACACACCTGAGACGCATCTCCTTCAGAAGTGTCATCATTTAGCGCTGAATAAACCATCCAAGCATGGTCCAATTTTCGTTTAGGTCGCACCACAACAGATCCAGGAACTTCTGCATCTCGGCATGTCACAAGCCCATCACTTTTCTCCCCATATCTCACCTGCAGCAACTGTGCACAAGCAGCCATAGCAGCACCAAGGGGCATTATAACAGGGAGTCTTGTACGTTCACCGCTTGAGGCAATCAAGGGTGGTAGTTCAGCATGTGCAACGTGAGATAATGTGGCTAAAACAGCTGGGGAAATGCTAGCTTCGGTGTGAAAGGAAACAACAGGGACTTCTTTTGGTAGATGATGTTCCTTTAAAAATTCCCTCCGTCTTTCATATGTCAAGTCTTCTAAGGCTCGCATGTCACCCTTTGTAAAAATAAAATAATAATTATAGCAAGGGATGATGAGTTAAATAATGTTTGGACATTGACAGAAGCTAAAAAAAGAAATAACATAATTAACGGTAGCTTACATGAACAACATTAAACAAACAAAAATCAATTAAACTTAATTATCAATTCACTAAAATAAGCAGAATCATATCATATAATGATTAATGACACCATTCAATTTTGTTCGTGGAAACTGAAAAATATGTAGATTAGTGGGAATTATTTGAATGGGTAAGCAAATGCAGATTTCATGCAACAAAACAGATGGTCAAAAGTTCTACAGAAAAACAAAAATAAACATGTAAGCAAATCCGTTTGCTCTAATAATCACATGCAAGAAGATGCCATACCAGAAAAAGATCCATTTTAAAGAAAACAAACATTTGAAGCACAAATAAGAAAGAACCAATGGGTCATAATAAAAGAGAACTACATGCCTTAATTACTTTACAGATAAGAATCTCTGTAAGTTTCCGTAAATTTACATAATCACCAAGCTGTCCTTCTCGCAGAAGATCTGAAGCTATAGGAGTACCCCCATACGGACTTTGTGCTAATGCCAATCCAGCAACTTTATCTTTCAAATCAGACCAGTATAATGATAAAGCAGCTGCAGCATCTACTCCCCCTTTGCTATGTCCAAGAAGCAAAACACGTTTCTTTGAACCCCAATAAATTTCCTCAATATACTCTTTTAGTTCTCTGGCATTTTTCTCAACTGAAGCCTGATAGATAATTACTCAATTCAGTAATGTACAAACAAGAACATCAATATGATATTCACAAAACTTAGAGCAAGAATTTTTCATAAGAACTATTACTACTGTTAGATAACCCATATTTAATGGAATAATTAGTTGGTTTGGGAGTTTATTAGTGTTAGGAGTTAGGAGAGAGTCATAAAAATTTGTCATTTTAGGGCTGGGATAATTAGAAAAAGAAGGCATGATGCCAATAAATAAAAAAGGGGTTTAAGAGGTTAGAGGTATCTTGTCATTAGGGAGAGGATTCGAAGCTTTTGGAAAGGCAGATCCTTGAAGTTTTGTAGTTATTTAATCAGGGGAGATTTTTCCTATTTTTTGTAATAAGATACTAAGTTTCTATCGCTATCAACATTTACTAATGTTACTGATTATATATTACTACCACAAGAACTAGTATAATATACCTCACTATGAATCTTTGCGATATGACAAGTCAAACCCATTTTTGAAAAACTGACTTTCGTACTGACAAAGTAAAGTGGACCATGATTACTGAAAAGACCTGCCATTGCAAAAGGCACAACAGTTAATAGCACAAAAATTAGTTATGTTGAGAAAAGAGAACAAAAAAACATAGGATGAATCCCAATGTTTTGACTACATATTGAAACATATATTTATAATGGGAACTATTGATGCAGAATGAGAAGTTACTATAATTATAAAGATACTAATTTTTCTATTTATAATATTACTATAATTACATAATTCCAACAAGTTGAAACAATGAACTTTGGCAGCTTTACTATTTTCATCCTATAGGCCAAGTGCTAATAAAACATATCCCATTCCAGCTGCATCACTGGCTTTCAGGTTTTGCTGTATGTGAGGGCCTGGGATGGGTGTTGTTGGTTATGGTTAAATTGAACTTGAGCATAATCAATCACTTTACCTGGAATTAACAAATAAACCATTGAATTTGGTAACTTGTGAACACCATGCCTGAAAGAAAGGAAAATTGAGTTAACATTGATAAAGAGAAATATTGGAGAAAAATAAAGCAACAGGATACTTACTTGATGTTGTCCAGAATTTCCAGGAATCTCTCTGTTCCATCTTCAACTGGGGGCATACCCGGATCATGTTGAAGCCATCCTATATCATCTGCAGATCCACGCACAGTCCTTCGAGCACGATCAATCAGGCTGAAGTAACAAAAGCATAGATTATCATCCCCATCTCAATTATTAAAAGGGCTTAACTTTTAGTTTAGATGGTTCTATCAAAAAATTAAAAATAATAATAATATAAGAATTGAAGATTAGATGGATAAACCAACATCATATCAAGGTGGCATTAACAGTAAGCACAGTGGCAGAGCTTATATCATATCTTTCAATCATTCGGGTGCAATATTTGATGTAGGGTGCATTTTACAATATTTAGAAAGGAAAAGAAAAAATTTATAAATTTGATGTCATGTAAATGGAGAGAGATTCCCTATCAAATAAATCAAAATCAGAGATTAAGGAAGGTGATTCTAATGCATTGAAGATATAGAGAGCGTAATTTTATGTTTATCATCAATTATCACCTGGAAATATGCACCAATTATCAATGTAGAAGATAACTTGCAAATATCCCAGAGTGGGACCAATACGATAATGGTATGCTATGCTTGTAAATATTAAATTACACAAGGAGATAACAGTCAACTTTTATTTGCAGTGCCTATAGACTCTCTATTTACTTTTACTTAATGAAAATATAATACCTTACATTAAAATTTTTGTTTTACCCATGACTCCTTGGAAAGGAAACATAACTAGGGAAAACAAACAAAATAAATATACAAAAATGAATGCGGAGACTCAAGAAAGAGAAGAATATCTTTTTTTGTAACTAACCAGAAATACTTAATACAAGATACCATGGATTTTCCTTAATTGAGGATTCAAAGGTTCCTAAAATTCATTACTCTTGGAGATCACGCATCTCAGTGCATTTAAAACTGTTCACACTTCAGCAACATATACACCCAATAAAGAGAAAATAATGCATGGAGAACCAATCATTTCCTAAGAAAATATGTAAATTCACAGTTATCGTATCATAGTCTATCATAAACACACAGTAGTAAGTTGTTGGAGTCAAGTGTAAATTAGTCCCATATAGAATGGAATATGGGCAAGTTAAGAGTCTAGAAAGACATGGACCCATAGACCCCTGTACCCATTACATTAAGATTTTGGGGTTACATTGTAATGTCCTACCCCTTGTGAGGCTCCCTACCTGAAAACTCTTCCACCCAATAGTGGTATCAAAGTTAGGTCAATCTAGGTGACTGACTCAAATGAGTAGATGAGCCACGGTAGAGAGAGAGCTTACGGTATGACACTCATGGTCAGTGTGAGAGTACACCGTAGAAGAAACAGTGACACTAGATGAGCCATAGCAGAGAGTTAGTGGTACCCACGTGCAGAGGGTGTGGAGCCCAACATTCAAATTAAGATGTCCCACATTGGTTAGGAATAAAGCCAGAATACTCCTTATAAGAGTTAGGATAGTCCTCCTCCTATGAGCTAACTTTTGGAAATGAGTTAGGCCCTAGTTTCTTAATATAAGTCAAGTCTATCTAAAACATCAATAGTTTATAACCATAACAGTCAATAGCAGCCATAGTGACCGCTATTGCGGAGGAGCGGCAAGTCGCCACTATGGGGAGCTTATAGCATCGCATTTCAGTGGAGTGGCCATCATGCCGCGAATAGCGGCCAAATCGCGGGAGAATCGCAGCCATAGCGGCCGCTATTTCATCCCTGGCCAAAACTCGACTTTGCCCTTGCTTTCTTAACTTTGGACATCTTTAAATAGGGGTAATCTTGGAATTTTGCCCCCTTTTACATTTTTGATATGTTCTTCCTCACGAGCCTTAAGTTTTCATTTTCGTCTCTCAGTTCTCTGGTTCATTCTTTCCCATCTTCGTTCTCTGCAACATTATCTTGCTTCCAGTGTCCTTCTCCGGTGAGGCTTCTGACGTGACAGAGTTGTCCTCCAGTTATCTTCTTCGTCTTCGTCAAAGCTTCTAACGTAACTTAGACGTGTTCCGGTCCTCTACATCTCCCATTGTCTTCTTCAACTCCGGCGAAGTTTCCAATATGATCCAGACATTTCTGGTCATCTTCTTCATCTCTGATAAAACATCGGCAAACCTGCACATTTTCTAGTGACTGACCAATTCTCTGTTTTCTTATTTCCTTATCTATTTTTTATCTTTGTCTCTGTCTTTCATTTCTCTCTGTTTTAGATATTATTTTTATATTAGGTATAATACTTAGAACTTCAAAATAGCAGCCATCCTGCTATCCGCTGTAGAGTTTTTCAGGTCGGCCGTATAACAGCTGTTACCAAACACAAAGCAATGAAATGTAAATATATAAAATGCCCACTATGCACCACTAGCATAATAAAACCAGCAGTTTCCTATTCTACACCTTTCTTTATGCTTACCCACAAGATGCTACCTAGCAGCACTTAACTTTTGTTAATAAGCTTTTCCTGTCGCAGATTTTATTTTATAAACCTTCATTCATGCAAAGTAGAAAAATTTAAAAAAAAAAAAAAACCAAAAAAAGGAAAATGAGACATATTAAAAAAAAAAAAAAAACTGTACAGTACCACCACCTTATTGGCCAAATAAATATAGCAGAGGAAACTATTTCAGTAAAAAACTTACAAAAATACAAATTGAACAGTTAAATAACAGTTCAGGTGTTCAGCTTTTCCAAAAATAATAGTAAGAGGACAGTAAAGTAACAGTAGACAATGAGTCAACGACACATCATAACAGTTCAGCTTCATAATTCAAACAAAAGATGTTGCTAGTAAGTGCTTATCCAAAATATCACATCTAGAATAAGTTCACAGAATACCTTTGGAAAATAGAAATTCCACTTTGTCCAGCACGATTTGATTCAACAAGTGCACTGGAATTTTGTAACAGATCTCCACCAGAAGTCCTTGTGATTTCATCATTTCTATGTAGAGGTGCAGGAGTTGCAGTATTAGATGATTCAACACTTGTTAAATGGTTACTGTTTGAAGGAATATGATCAATTTCAAGAGATGAAGACTCCCCAATTTCTGCAGAAGGAAAATCCACAAGCTCTAGTGCACGAGAGCCAGGAGGACCAGAATGTCCGGGAGAATTTTCTACTGAAATATTAACAAAAGCTTTAAGATCTAAAATTGCAGAAGTCTATGAATCAAAAAAATGAAACACAATCATTATTATTCAAATGCACAAGTTTTGTCAGAAATTAAGCATGAGGAAAGGGTATATAGATCAGAGAGCTGTATAAGGAATAAAATCAATCCATAAAAGTCATTCAAATTAAACAAATTCAAAATAAGTGTAGGTGAAATTTCATAAAGTAGAACAGAAGCATATTGAAAAGAATCCTAAGTCCTATACCTAGACAAAAACTGTCACAAAGACTTGAAAATAACAAGAAACTGCAGCCTTCCAAAAATCTAATTAGACCTACAATAAATTCTCAAGTGAAATCTACATAAAAAGGGTAGGCCATGTATGTCACATGAATTTTAATGTACTTGGGTTTCAATAAGGTTTCAAAAAAATACATTAAACTTCTAATATAATAATCTCATAATTTGTGGTTTCGTCTATCCCTTGAAAGGCAGGTCTTTATTTCCTGAAAGGTGACCATTACTCCAAAGCAATCTGATTAGGTACTAAATTTTCAACTCCCACATATAAATGAAACAATTGAGGTAACATAAACCTTAAGTGAATCATTTCTACTTTCAAGTAAAAGCAGATGAGTTAAGTATCTCCTTAAAATTTATCTAGCAGATAAGCCATATCATTATTTCAAAATGCCACATAATAATTCAGCTTCATTATTTCCCTGTTTGTTTATGGAAACTTATAGTAACTGACTAGATAATTCTTTAAACTTCTGAAAGAAGAATCTACTTAAACTAAAACCTCTGAAAAACAAGACAAACAAAAAAGAAGCTTGCCTGAATAATCAGAGAAACAACCAGTTAGGTATGATGTTGTTTCTGCAAGATAAGAAGCAGCATCATTGAGAGCTGGCATAGAAGAAAATATATGAGGAATAAGCCCTTCATTAGTCAAACCCTCTCCCTGTACCAGAAAAAGATAAGGTTAGTTTAGTTTTAAGTAAAAAGCTAATAAAATTATTGTTTAAATCATCAAGATAATCATCAAAGGAAGGTGCAGCTACTCCTAGAAAAAAGAAAACGTACAACTAAATGCAATAACAAAATAGTAATAAAGCATTTGAACCAAATTACCATTAACAGCAAGATCCACATTCAACAAGAACAAATGCCCTTCCAAAGAAATCATTAAATACAGAGCTTAAGAACCCAAATATTTAAATAGAAAGATACTGATCACAAGCTAAAGAAGCTTGACCTCAACAAAAAGGTGTTTTCTTACCTTCTCCTTTTGGCAAAGGTGAGGTAGGAGGAAGAAGGGGTTTGGCTGTCAATAAACAAACAGGCAATAGGTATTTTATATTGATAAAGTAATCCCTAGTGTGTATTTACCACACTCCTTAGTTCTATTTGACACAGATCTTTCCTATCATCCAGCAGAACTGCTCTTGCAACAACACAACAATCTCTCATTCTTCATTGTGAAAACTTAGGTCTAACTCGCTCCTCAAAGCTAGCTCATAGGAGGAGGACTATCCTAGTCCTTATAACTATAAGAAATATTTTAGCTCTATTCCTAGCCAATGTTGGACATCTTAACTTTCTCCCATTTTAAACTTCCCTGCCAGAACCCAACTATTTGTTTCAATAACTAATACTTGCATGAACATTACATTTTTAACATTAATTATTTGCATTTTCATTTGTCTAGTTATTAGAATTTTAACTCTAACCACCCATTTGACACCCACAAAAAAAATCCACTTCATTATTTTAACAAACCCAGTTTATTGGAATATAAGGAACAAAGTGGGCATGGCATAGGCTGCGATGTTCATTCTGAAGACATAAAACTTGGTAACTATAAATTATGAAAGAAATCACATTTCACAAATACATGACTTACCACCGATGAGGTGGTTGACTCCCCATGTTGTTGGCTTTGAGAATGCACCATTGAAACCAATTTTGGGCAAAGGCAAGAAATAAAGGAAAGAAAATTCTTGATAGATTTAACAATGTAGTCCCAAAAGATCAAACACAAAAAACAAATCATATAAAAATTGGAACCACCTCTCATTTTATAAACTAAGATCTGCTCAGGAATCAAACTGATTGGGATTTAAGGAATGGATAAGTGATGAAGCTGTTAGCCCTCATATAAGTACTACTTTGAGGAATGTTTAAGGCATAGAAGAGAACTTCGGATTGTAAAGCGTTGTAACAACATTGCCTACAAGGCAAGAAACGCGGGAAAAGGAGTGGAACATGAGAAAAGGAAGGCACTGGTTAGGAATAAGAGAAAAAGGAAAAAATGAGCATTAAAAGCAGGGTAAATATTGATTTTGGTGGAGAGATTTCGGGCAGGGATGTGATATTTGGTGTGTCTGCAGAATTTACGTTGTTATCTCTTTCTTTCCTTGCACTATCATCTTTCTTTCCTTGCACTATCATCCTATTTGGCATTCGTTTTATTTCAACTCTTACAAGTACCCATACATTATACATAACGGGTACCGGTAAACGCTGCATTTACTTGGGTGTTTATCAAAATTAATTTAAAAAAACACGGTATGCAACTTGAGTATGATACTAATGGGACTAAGTGCAGCTAGGTATGCCTTACGTACTAGCTAGTATTAGCTAGATCATTTACACTACCCCAAAATGGCAGTTTTTCGGTTAAATTTGGGATTTTCCTCACCTTTCTCTCAAATTTTCCATGTTTTTCTCTCTGCTTAATCAAATCCAGTCATCCTTGCTTGTGAGATGTGAGACACGAGTTTGTCAATTTCTTTTATTAGAGATTTTTTCTCAATATTCTATAGATCTTTTATATTTTTCATTCTATTCTATTTATATTATTTAAAAAATTATAGGCCTAGATATGTTTTTTGTTCTCACATTTTAGCGAATTTTTAGTTTTAGTCTCTTGAAATAATTTTTTGTTGTTTTGGTCTCTACTTTTTCACGATTTTTTGTTTTTATTCTCTATCTATGATTTCATCCACTAAAATGTTGTCAAATGTCAGTTTTTTATTAGACCATGCTACCTACAAGGACTAAAAACAATAATTTACTAAAATATAGGCACCATAAAGAAAAAAATTGTTTAAATGAACTAAAAAAAAAATCGTTTAAATGGACTAAAACAAAAAAAAAACACTAAAATATAGGAACTAAAAACATATTTAAGTCAAAATTATATTAATGTAACAGTACCTTCAATTTTTAAAGACTGTTGAATTCCATCTGCATGTCCACATTGTGTACGAGTACCATACTCATTCATGCAACATAGATTCTTCCTATGTCTTGAAAGTTTGCTAAGTACTGAAATTGTTGTTTCGTGATAAATATATCCAACATCAAATCTGCTTATTTAAATTTAATACGTTAAAATTACCTTTTGAAAAAAATGAAATCCTGGTGTACAATAGTTTATTAAGATGATAAATAATTTAATTACTTGCCAACCTTGGAGTGTGCATATATGCTTCCAACACAATATAAGGATATAAAATGTAACATACCATATGGCAATATGAGCTTAGCAACTAATCTGCATTAATGGTTTAGTATTAGAATAGAATTCTGTGTTGGAAATTCCAAGTTCAATCCTGGCAAGCACACTTTTCCACTCTTTCTAAACTAAAAGGCACTTTGTATACTATTTAATAAATTATGCAAGCTTAATAGCACAATGGAATGGCAACATACAGGCCCAGATTTGAATTGTGGAGAATGGAGAGCAACATAAAACCCAATCTCATTGTGTGCCAGATGGGGTTAGCCCTTTTTTTCCATATCATAAGAAGCCTTTTAAGCCATAGAAAAGGGTAACAGACTAACTCCTTACAATGGAAACATCTTTACTTTCCAAGATACGCAGTGGGAAATTATTTTCCATTCTTTCTTCCCAATCCAGAGAGAAATTTAAGTGCTCTGGTGTAAGACAATACCTTTATATGGTACCATTAAGCATGTGCCACATGAAACGATCAATAGATTCAATACCATTTGGACAACAAAAACATCGCCTTCTATTATCAATACACTAACATCATGTGTGGTTTAAGGGAATGCAATGGGAAAAAGATAAGCCAATTTCCCAGTTTGGTTGAAAAACAGGAAGGGAATATGCATTCCCCTGATTATGGCCATTCTTTTCATTTAAGTAAAAGTGATTCCATGACATATAAGAAGGAATAACCATTCAATATTCCTTCAAGGAATAATTCTCACTATGCACGTAGTATGATAAAGATGAATCCACCAATCCCAGCCATTACCATTTCTCTGTTATGAATGTGTTTACTACTACATTTTTCTTTTCTTATGCCCATATTTCGATCAATAGTTCTTAACACAACGTATAGCCGCTTCCGCTCGAGATATCTATTCCTTCAGTTAAATGACAAAGTTCCATTCGTTAAGACACGTTAATATCCAAACACTCTATTGTTCAGTTCTGAGCATCAAAACATTGTCGCCATTCCTAAAACTAACACCGCAACCTGACAATGAATCCTCCCCACACGCACACACAGACAATCAAACTAATTCAGCAAATCACAAAACTAACCAAACCATATTACCCTAATTAGTTTGTTCCGTCAAAACTACGAATATTACACCCCATAGTATTTCAATGCTCACGTGAACATTTCCTCAGTGCAAATAAAACTTCAGATTAGAACGCCAATGTTTAAACGATAGGAAATCACTTAACCTAATAATATTTATTTATAAAAAGAAAAATAATAAACAAAGAAAAAATATCTTCCAGGAATCTGTGCATGGATATATCAATTTTACATAAATAGTGAAAAATTAGAAAGTACGTGACTCACGACTAAGGGCACGGTTGATTCCCGACGCGGTGGATTTGGAGCTCGCACCATCGAAACCAGTTTCTGCCAAACGCGAGAAACAAAGTTCATGAACATGGAATCGAACCGCGAAAATTGCACAAATAAAAGGAAAAAGAAAATTGGAAGCATGTGTTGTAGAAATCGTACCTTAGAAACTGTGACGCGAAGAAAGGTGACGGCGAGGTGAAGGAATCAAAACGGTTTTGAATTGAGAATGAGGGAAGGAAGCACGGTGTAGCCGATCGATGGCGTTGAATTGGTTCGTTTCTTGCGTTTCTTACCGCTCGCCGTTAGACGAAAATGGATACCCGATGATACTGCGTCGTTTTGTCTGACCTGTCAGTTTCACCATCCTTGCTTGCTAATTCAAAGTTCCAGAAATTAATTTTTGCTACTCTTTAATGTACCAATGTTTAAATAATTTTTATCTAAATAATTTACTATTGATATAATTATAAAAGATAAAAAAATACTTTAACTAAAAATATCTAAATAAGTTACGAAAATACATCTTTCTTTTTCGTTATATAATATTTTTTATTATTTTTAAAAACACAAATTAATTTTTTATAATTACATTTTTAAAACCATAGTTAATATATTTTGAAATTAAAATTTTATAAAAATATTAAAAAAATTAATGCTAGTAAAAAATATTGATAAAATAATTGCTCAAATATTTAATATAATTTCTTTTAAATCGCTAAATTTCATTACATCATGTTTTTTTGAATTAGAGTTTAGAATATTAGAAGTATGTATAAATTAAATTGCATAATTTTAAACTATTTTTTTAATTAATTATTTTTTAAATTACATATTAAATCTTAAACCTTAAATTTTAAATAGTTAAAGTGTATCTTTTAAATCAGAATCTCACGCACACTAAAAAAATAAAATCATCAATAATAATAATAATAATAAAACTAACATTCTTCCAATTAATCAATATTGATTGAGTTTGTTTATTTTAAAAATGACTCTTAATTTGAACTGAACAATTATAATCAGAAATTAATTAGTACACAATCACATACCAAAATCATATTTTCATCATGTCTCATAAATATTATAGGTCGAAATTTCATCTGCCCAACAAGCACGAACCAAATCATACTCACATGTCAGAATGCTGTCTTATAGTTTTCCTTATCAAGTAACTAAGGAAAACAATTGTAGTTCAATTATTCAGTGTTGGAAATTATCGATGTAAAGTAAGTTTAGATATTGTAAGGAATGTAAATGACTTCAGCGACTAGCACGTGTCTTATGTTAAAAATTATCATTATTTTTTTTTATGAAATTTATAAATGAAAATTATAAAGATTCTCTTTCAATAATGATTATTTTATTCTATTAATTAATAATAAATTAAGAAGATAATATTTTGAATTTGATAAAAAAATAATAAAATTAAATTATTTAAATTAACATGCACTATATTTATTGCTAATATTATAATATCTCAACGTTCAGTTTATTTAAACTAATATTTTTAGTTTGATATAATGTATTAGTAGTTTCAAGATTTAGAATTATATTTAAATTTAAGGAATGATGTTTGAAAAATAAAATTATAATTTAAAATACTCAACCAATTAATGTTATATATATATATATATATATATATATATATATATATATATATAATTTTTAAAACCAAAAACCTTAAATATTTTAATCTGCAGGTGATAAATGAATACAGTTAGCAGGTTTGGGCCTTAGTAAGCCCAACCCATTGAAGGAACGGACTTGTAGGTGGGGGATGATTATTATGCAGGCATTGGTACATTCTAGCAATCTAGAAAATGCTTTCAGGGGTGAAGTTCATTCCCCGTGACCAGATCAGTGGAGTTGGCATAGCATACTTCTATCAGTGTCACTGTTATTATTCCCCCTCCATTGCCAAGATTTGCATGCAGATAACTTGAGCTGACATGGCCGAAGAGGTGAAGCTAAGCTGAATCACCGAAAACCAATAACCATAACACCTCCCAAATTCCCAATTAGGGTTCCAACTTCCATGGCTCTTTTACGATCATACAAAAAATTGACCAACCCCAATCTTGTTCCACTCTCAAAATCCCTTTCACCTTCACCAGGTTCAAATCTTGAGCATCATCACTCCATACACACATTCCAACTCACCCAAATACCATATGGGTTTCCAAAAATTCACACAGACGCCGAAACTATCTGCAAAGTCTTATCAAACACTCGTGATTCCACCGTCGACACCTCTCTCCGCAATGTGCCGGTGACGGCGTCGCCGGAGCTGGTGGTTGAGGTTTTGAACAGGCTCAACAATGCGGGTCTACTCGCGCTTTCGTTCTTTCGTTGGGCAGAGAAACAGGAAGGGTTCAAACACACCACAGAGAGCTTCCATGCTTCGATCGAGGCATTGGGTAAGATTAGACAGTTCAAGATGATTTGGACTTTGGTGGATGACATGAATCGCCGAAAGTTGCTTACTGGTAACACTTTTTCCCTCGTTGCTCGAAGATACGCAAGAGCAAAGAAGGTCGACGAAGCAGTGGAGACGTTTGAAAAGATGGAAAAGTATGGTTTGAATCCCCAAGTGTTGGATTTCAATAGGTTGATTGATGTTTTGTGCGAATCCAGGTTTGTTGAGAAAGCACAAGAGGTGTTTGATAAAATGCGGCAATTAGGGCTAACGCCTGATGTTAAGTCCTACACCATTTTGTTAGAAGGGTGGAGTCAGCAGCAAAACTTGTTGAGGGTCGATGAGGTGTGTAGGGAGATGAAGGATGAGGGTTTTGAGCTTGATGTTGTTGCTTATTGTATAATTATTAGTGCATATTGTAAGGCTAAGAAATATGACAAGGCCATTGGGTTCTATCATGAGATGCAAGCAAAGGGTACGAGGCCTAGTCCCCATATATATTCTACTTTGATTAGTGGTTTGGGTTCTGACAAGAGATTGCATGAAGCTCTTGAATTCTTTGAAAAATCTAAGGCTAGTGGTTTTGCACCCGACGCTCACACCTACAATGCTGTTGTTGGGGCTTATTGTCACTCAATGCAGATAGATGATGCGTATAGGATGGTTGATGAGATGAAGAAATATGGGATTGGTCCGAATTCTAGAACGTGTGACATAATAATTCATCACCTAATAAAGGCTCGCAGAATTGAACAAGCTTGCTTGGTTTTTGAGAGGATGAGTGATGAGTGGGGGTGTGAGCCAAGTGTCAGCACGTATGAGATCATGGTTAGAATGTTTTGTAATGAAGAGCGATTGGATACTGCAATGGCAGTTTGGGATCAGATGAAAGCCAAGGGACTCCTTCCTAGAATGAATATGTTCTCCAAGTTAATCATTGCCTTGTGCCATGAAAATAAGTTAGATGAAGCCTGTAAATACTTTCAACAAATGTTGGATGCGGGCATGCGGCCACTACCTTCCAAAATGTTTAGTACCTTTAAGTATGCTCTAATTAATTCTGGGATGGAGAATACTGCCAGATATTTCGTTTTGAAAATTCATAATTTGAGAGATATGCATTGATCCACCTTATTTTTCATAAATCCCATGGATGTAATGATTTGATCAAATTTAAGGTGTCATTATGCTTGTTTCAAACCATAAGTTGATTTCTTCAATTTACACGTTAAGTGCTCCTTATCATTCTAAATAAAATCTTCTAGTTGTTGCATACAAACCTCCTCAAAAAATCTCTATTTAGAAAAATTATTTTCACATCCATCTACTGTAGCCTAAGGTCATAATGATTTACTATTATCATAATAATTTTGAAGAAATCATAAGAGAAAACTATGTAATTTTATTTTTTTTTAAGTGTCTTTTTTTTTTTTAGTGAATCATTTTGTCACTTATCTTGCTTTAAATTGCTTTACACTTTCTTTAAAATCTTTATTAGTCTTAAATATCAACTTGCACCCCACGAGTTAAAATCAATAGAAATTTACCAACTCTTACACATTATTATAATTCATAGAGTATTTTAAATACTAAAAACTATTTTCATATAATTTTTTTGGATCTAGCGTACACCTAATGTTGAAGTCTGACACTTCAAGAAAGGTGTAATAATCATCATGATTAATTGATTTTCTTTCTCTTTATGATCGTCTCAGAGAAGCAACCTCAGTTGATTCTTCATGAATTGTTGGTGACACATTCTTTAAAACTTCCCAAACTAATTTCATAAATGATCCATCATGGTGGTATAGACTTAATCAAATAAAGCTCTTAAAGATAAATTGCCCAATTTTTTTTTATTAAACTCTATTTTTTCAAACACATAAAACACAAAAGGAAAAAACATCCAAAATTTCAATGATACATGATAACATACATTTTGTATGTAATATATTAGAATTACCATAATAATAATTTCTTCCTAAATTCACAAGGTCATCATATACAACATTATTACAATATATATAATATCACAAGTGCAAGTCTAGCGACACAGATAAAAATACGAAGATAATTGTGCCCTTTTTTAAAACAAGGTCAAACACAATGCATCTCAAATTCACAACTTCGTCACTTTTTTTTTATTCCTTTTTATTCTCCCTCTATTTTGTAATTTTATTGTATTTGGATCCTTCTTTTGTACACTATAAATTATTGAGATAATTGGGACTCTGCATATCATTCTAACAAATTTGTGATTATGATCATACTATGTGCTTAACACATAGTTGTACTTCGTACTCAAAATTTATGAAACAAAGAGGAAGTTGAAATAAGAAAAAAATGAAGTGTTACTTGATCACTTAGGTTTGATTCCTATTTTGTGGTAGAGATTAGGGATAGAAACAGGTCAGGCCGCCTAACAGTGCCTGTGGCTTGACCTAACATTTTTAATAAACAAATTAAGTTCGGGCTTTTTTTAAAGCCTGTTTAAATAAATAAGTCAGGTCTGAGCTGTTTATAAAGCATGTTAAGTTTGACAGGTCGGCCTGTATAAATATATATATATATATATATATATATATATAATTTTAAAATAGAGCTATCAAAATATATTTAAATAATAAAGCTATTTAATAGTATATTTTTTATATTCTTAATTCTGTTATTATTAAATTAATATATTATGTTATAATTTTATTTATTTATAATTATAATAAATAGAAATTATATTCTATTAAAAATTAAAAATACTTATAAATGATTATATTTTTTAAATAATAAATTTATTTAATAATAAATTATTACATTTAAACAATTTAAAAAATAGTTAAGTCTTTGAACAAGAATAAGACGTAATCAAAACTAAACGAAATAAAATTTAAAAATAAAATAATAAAATTATATTAACATATTTTTTATACTCTTATTTTTATTATTATTAATTTAATTATTTAATTATTATATTAATATATTATGTTATAATTCTTTTTATTTATAATAAATAGAAATTGCTTAAATCTGAATTATATTTTATTTGAAAGTAAAAATTTATTAAGAAAGTGATAAAAAAATAAAATAAAAAACTTATTATAATATATATTAATATATATATATATATAATTAGACCATGTAGCAAATAATATAAATAATATAATTATAAATAAATTATATAATAATATATATTTTTGTAACGTGCACATGTTTTAATTAAATTATTATTAATTCATTAATTTATATGTAATATATAAGTATATGTTTTAATTTATTGTACCAGTAATATTTTCTATATTACATTAATATTATAATATAGTTAATTTTACATTTATTTGTTAATTTAAAATAACAAATTAATGAAACAAATAAAATTAAATATTTTGTAATTATTTTTTTAATTTAATAGTTATTATTATTTTCATTTTATATATATATATATATATATATAGTACATTAAGTTTAAATTTTTATATTAAGTTTTATCACATATTTTTTAATTAAGATAAAAATTTAGAAATATAAACTATTTTAATTTAAATATAAATTTTAATAATTCTTCCTATGCTCATATGTTATTTTTCTGCATCTATAAATTTTATAATATAAGTATTTATCATATACAATTTTTATAATGACGATATTTATTTACTTTTTAAAATATAATAATTTTTTTAGCTGATTCAATAAATTTTGTAAGTGTTATTTTTTGTAATTATTTTTTTAATTTAATAGTTATTATTATTGTCATTATATATATATATATATATATATATTGCATTAGGTTTAAATTTATTTTTTTAAAACATAATAATTTTTTTTAATTAATTCAACAAACTGTGTGAATGTTTTTTTTTTTTTATCAATTTTATGTATTTACTATAACTTTATTTGTTGAATATAAGACGTCTTTAAATAAACAAAATATGTTTCTAAAATAAAACTAAAATTTTTACTATTTATATAATTTTAAAAAATAAATTAAAAAAAATATAAATATAAATTTTATTAATATAAAATATTTATAATTAATACTTAAATAATATTTTAAAAGTTATTTATAAAATTATATAAATATTATTATAATTATTTAATAATTATTAAGAACGTAAATAGAAATTAAAAAAGTATATAAACTAATTTGATAATAAAATATTTATATTTTTATTAATTTTTTTTATAACAGGCTTTGTTAACAGGTTTTAGGTCAGGTCAAGCCACTTAAACAAGTCAGGTCAGGCCTAAAATAAAGCCTTTAACAAGTAACAGGCTAAATTCAGGCCTAATAATTATATTACAGGCCAGGCTTGTTTAGAGTAAAGTCTAGCCTGACTTATATGTTTCTATGTTAGTAGAGATTCAGCAAATAAAAGGGGTTCTTTCAAATCAGTTTTACAATGTACTTCTTTAGAAGTTTCCTTCATCAATATTTTTACTTCCTCTGAGGGATTAACCATCGATTTTGTGACAGTCTCCACTTTCATTACAACTTCCTCAGCTTTACCCCAAAGCACAACGTACAAGCCAATGATCACTCCAATTGCGCCTGTCAAGCTAACCCATATCAAATGAAAGTATCATGTTAGAATACTACACACTCTTTTAACATTTTTTTCTTGATATATTTTTTATTATTAGTTAAAATTTATTAAAATTACAAAATTTACGTGAGTTTTACTTTTTTTTTCTTTCCTAAATTAATGTTTCTCATTCATACTAAAGTATTTTGCTAGCATTTTTAATTTTTCTAATTATTCTTTTTTTATATCAAATTTTTATATTTTTATTTTTATCCCTACTATCAAGCTGTGGATAAATAATATATTGTTAATTTTACTAACAAATGTTTAGTTAATTAAATTTTGTCATGTATATCAACTCATTATATGTATTGAAAAAATTCATACATACAATACACATTTAAAGTTTTTATCATTGAATCATGTAAATGATTATTTTCATATTAATTTTCTTATGTATTCAACAGCATATATTAAGAAGTTTAAATTATCATAAAAAAGCATGTATTAAATATTTTTTTATAATTTTAAGATAATAAATAATTTTATTTGAAAAAAATAATTTATTTTTAACTTTTTATATGTGCCTTTCAACACATTAAAAATAGGTTGTTTTCATATTTGTAATATATATGATAAGTTTACACCCATGATAAAACTTATATAGTTGGACATCTATTTGTCCAATTAGAATTATCTAACGACAAGTTAATAATTATATAGACCAAACAATAAAAGTTTAAAATAGTTAAAAATAAAAATAAATTTTCTAAACACTAAAACTAAAACTTTTCATACTTATTAAAACTTAAAAAATATATTTAAGCCATATTAATTTTTTGATATTCAGATTAATTACGTGCTCACGCGGGTCATTTAATCAACATTAAAATACCTTCCAATGTAGATTTGCTCATGAAGTAACAAAGCAGCCAATATTGTGACAATCACTGTGGAAAGAGGATTGAACATCGAACAGAAGAGAGGACCTCTCCTTGAAATGCACCATGCTTGCAGAAAATACGCTGCTGATGATCCCATTACCCCCTGCATGCATTCATTACATTAATTGTAGATTATTATATTAAAAAAAATCTTTGATTTATGTAATCAATGATATAAAAATATATCTGTGATGTATTTTTATTTATTAAGAGTATAAAAAATTTTACAGCAAAAATATACCCAAATTAAACTCATACTATACTGCATTTAGAAAGATGGTGTAAAATTGAAGAAATGAATAAAAAAAGTATCTTTAATTCTCTCTTCTATTTTTTTTTTTTAAAGATAAAGTGATAATTTTTCTATTAGCGAGACAGAAATGGTGACACAAACATGTGATTTGTGTTCACTATTAATGCATTTACAAGTGTTGTATGTTTCATGGGAAATAGATAATCCACATACTGAAGTTAAAGCGCAACCAAGTTCAAGTAGAGAATTAATCTTCCAAGCATTTAGGTCTGGCTCCAGTAATAGTGCCACTACTGCTGATTCTAATGTTCCCATAAAACACATCCAAGCTGAAAAAGATAAGTGATGTGGGTGGCTTTCAGTGGCTGGAACCTGAATAACACAGATAAAAGGAGATTACATGAAAAATAAACGCTACTGAATTCATGTTTCTCTTCAATCATTGACCTTACATTGCATAAAGTTAAAAAAATTGAAATTATTGATTACAAAATTGTCAGTTGAGATTATGATTAATTACAGATGTGTAACAAATTATATAATTATTTAAAGATCAAATTAATCTATAGGCTGGTGTAGGTTCTTAAACTATTTAGGAGTTTTTAAATATGTTCTTATACTTGAAGATTTTGTAAGTAGATTCATGGTGTAAGTAGATTCATGGTTATGTGTATGTTAGGACTCATAAGTACACAAACATACTAAAGTACCCATTAGTTCTTGATCTATTTAAAAGTTTAAAACATATTTATAAAATTTAAAATATAAATACTTATTTAAAAATTCTCAAATAATTAAAAACTAATATATTAATTTAACCTTGTTTGAATCTTGACTATAAATTTTTTAATAAATAATCCCTAATTTTACCCTCCAAAGTAAATTTTTCACTTTAGAAAAAAAATAAAAAAAATACCTGTACAATGAGCCAAACTGACCAGGCACAACAACATCCAAAGAGAGTTAGACAACCAAGCAACCAGCTCTCACTTCCTGAAGCCATGATGGATTGTGATGGCAGGTTTTTTACATTTAATAGCTTTGGACCTTTCAAGAAAGCTATGCACATTGCTCCACTCACACACACCATTGTCCCTACTATCTTGGCTAAAGATCTTGAGCTTCGAATATTCACTTTCTCCATTCTAATCAATTTCAGAGGGAAAGAAACATACATTTGAATTTTGATTAACACAACATTCTAAGTCTGTGTGTAAGGATTTGCAAACAATTGTTGACTTGAGCTTTAGCCATTAATTAATTACCCTAAACAAGTTGTCATAACAAATGTGACTGCTGGAACAAAGTTGGCCATTGCACTTGCGATTGAAGCAGAGGTCAGAGATAGACCCTCAGCATATAAGTTTTGACTCAATGCAATGCTGCAACATCATATCAATAGGAGCAACACCAAAGACTAATTAATAATTTCATATCCTTAAAAACTCATTTCACTAAATCTAAAACAATACCACAAATTACACATGTCAAAGAACAAAATATATATATATATATATATATATATATATATATATATATAGAGGATCCATTGACACCATGCCTAAGATTAAAAAACTTACATTAAATACTAATAACACAAATCAAATAATTTAACGGTTAAAAAATTATCTTTTTTTACTTTTTATTACATATTTTTAGGTAACTTTTCAACCCTATCACACACACATATATAGGAGCACTTTAAGTGAGAGAAATTTATTATTATGAGAAGTGAGAAGAATTAATAATAATTATTGAATCAAATAAAGAGTTTAGATTTGATGTTTCTACTCTACTATCAACTTTTTTCTTTCTCTTTCCGATTAATTCTCTTCTTTCACTTATCATCTCTTATAATAACTAACTATTCTCACTTGAAATGCTCCATATATATATATATATATATATATATATATATATATATATATATATATATAATTTTGGATCATATACATACAAATATTTAAAATATGTAAAATTAGAGAAACAAACCCAATTAGTGCGGTGAAGAATATCAAGGAAAAGCTTCTTAAATTTAAGGAATATGAGGCAGAATTTTTCCTGTAATGAAAGGGTAAGAAAATAATTAGCATAGCATGAGAGGGATTAGCAGAATGAGAAAGAAATAGAGAGAGGGAGATAATGGTGAGTACCCTTGGAAATAAGCAATGGGAGCAATCACAGTTGTTGCAAAAGCATGGCGATACACTATGAACACCCTGGGGCTCATTCCCTGTAAGAGAACAGTTTTTACGACAAGACTATTACCTGCATAAAGAAACTGTACCAACAACATAGCCATTGTTGGCAGGTAGTAATCTAATCCTCTCATCTTAGCTTGCCAAAAGAAAATGCTAATGAAAATGGGAAATTGTGCATTATGTTTTCATGATGAGTTTATATCAGCAACTTGTACTTATTATCATTATGAATCAGATGGTGGTTGGGAATTCTTTGCCCTGTTATCTATCACTTGCATGCATTAAAATGAGGCTAAGGTGGTTGTTGTTGTGCCCCACCTAGTAACTCTAATCCTTTGTTTTTGGATTGATGAAGTGAAAAACGTAAGTAGAAAAAATTTTAAAAATTTAGAAATAAAATATTTTTTTTATTTGAATAGAAAAAATAAAAAAATATATATTTTACATATTTAGATGAATTAAAAAATAAAAATTAGATAATTTATATTAAAATATTTTTATATAATAAAAAAATTCAAAATTGTTAATATAATATTTTTATAATAGTTATAGTTTTTATATTATTTAAAATTTATTTACTGTAAAATATAGACCATAATTTACAAAGTTTCAAAATATAAGAAAAACATGCTTTCATTCACTTTTTTTATACAAAAATCAACTAAGTGTAAAACAACATAACATTTTTCTCATGTTATTTCCACCGCTTGGTTCTTACATTATTTGTGTTTTGAGTAATAAATACAATTTTGAAAGAAAATTAGGTATAATCAAATAAGGTATATCCTCTCTGAAAATAAAAGAAAAACAAAACAATGTATAACAAAAAATAATGTTCAAGAAATATTTATTTATCTATTGCAAGTATACAAACTTATTTTTTTAGAGGAAAAAAAAGAAATAAATCAAAAAATTATTATCTTAAATATAAGACTCTCCTAATATCAAAGAAGCAATTTCAATTTCAGCTATGAAGATTTAATCTTTAAAATTATAAAATAAATTTATTTAAATTAAATTAAAGTAGAAGTGTTTTTTTCAATGAGTATTACATTAAAAATTAAAGATTTAAAAAAGAGTGATTTGTTGTGTTTGGAGTTTGGGTATCTCCGTTTGGTTTAATTAGCAGCTGCAGTCTGCAGATAACAAATTGAAGTTCTATTTATGGCAAAACAATCTTAATTCTTAGGTACGCTGTCATTTCATATAATTAATATTGCCTGCCACAATCTTCAATAAATTTTCATTTTATTTTTATATGTATAAAACTTTTTAATTATTAAATAAAGAAATCAACAATATTTTATATTTTCAAGATAATAAATATATGTTCTTTTACTTAACACTTATTTTATAAAATAGTAAAAGATTATTAAAAGAATATGACAAAGGATATAGCGAAAAGAATTTTCTAATTTCCTTTTTCAAGGATGTTTAAACGCCGTGGGCAAAAATACTTAATATTTAAATACTATTTTGTTGTTATTTGTTTGTTAAGGAAGAAAAATATAAATTATAAAATTTAAGTATTTTGTCAAAATTATTTAAATTTTTTTATATATTTATTATTTATTTTATTATAATATTATATTGCTTTAAAATTAATCAATTGGTATAAATATTTTATTTGTAAATAAAACTAATAAATAATGAAATTTATGAACAAGCTTCTATTCTTATGTACTTTGTAAGTACTGTAGTTACTTCTAGATTTGCAAAGAACAACATAGTTGTTATGAATAAATATCAAGTTTTCTGGTTAACCTAGTTTTATAAAATTAAATCTAGCGATCATCCTAAATTTTTAATAACAGTTTTAGTTTCGTTAGTTTAGTTTATGGATGAATTTTAGCTTTAAGTTTTACATTTAATCCTCTTAAACTCTCAATAATTAACAAAAATATAATAATATATATAGTACTTATATTAAAATTATAAATAGCATGCATAGTAAGTAACGTAAAATAAAATTTACTTTTTAAAAAATTTAAACAATTGAAAAATTATAAAGACTAAATATAATTAATTAAAACTAAAGAAACTAAAATCATGTTTAAGTTAAATTACATGAACTAAAAATGCAATTAATTAAGGTTAAACATAAAGAATTACCTTATATTATTTGAACAATTCAATAAATAGTAATGCTTTTAATATCCCCTCAATAAATTGATGAGTTTGTGACACTGAATTTACGTAAACTCTCGAGTTTTAACGTCCTAATTATCGATATGAATTGTTCAAGAGCTGTTATTCCTTTTTTCCAAGGAAAACTAAAGTTGTTTCACAATCTACAGCTGGAACAAGCTGCATACTATTGTGGTAAACAACTACAAAAACTTGAACATTGTCCTGCAAAATATCAAATTCAATGGTGTATATGTAGTTGTCCTAGGGAAACTATAAAAACGCTTCACGACTTTTTGTAGGAAGCTCTAGATCAGGTTCCACTTCACTCAGAGGTAAGAAGTACTGATCCACCATATCTTGAGACACCTTTTCCAAGGTTGGAGGATACCACTGCATATAGTTGATTCACAATTGAGTGAAATTTGGATTTCAAATCCAGATTTATGACATGAAGAGGAAGAAAATCATTGACAACATTTGTTCACAATGAAGAAATTGCAATCATTGACAGATGACATATTGGCTATATGGAAAAATTACGATTTCGATAAAATAATGCAAATAATCAGTACCTTTGGAGTTAAGTCCTTGTCCACCACGCGTGCCCTCACTCCCTAAAATGAATTCAAATCAACTCATGTTAAGAAAGAATAAGTTTCTTTCTGTTTCCTAGAATTTACAATACTTATACCTCACAGAAGTCCCCAGATATATGCTTAGATATTGCTTGTAAAGTCATACGGTACTCACGCATAAGGCACTGATCAAGGGTCTGAAATCTACCCTCTCGTATCTACACCAATTGGACGAATTACATTGTAAAGGCAAATTTTTATAAGAGGAAAGAAATCAGACATGCAAAAGGAACTCACAGATCTTAAGGACACCTTCAAGCTCAATGGAGAAGCTTCTTTTAGCCTATCTAGGGTAGAAATACACCAAGCATCATTTGTTTTACTTGCCGCATTTTCCTAGTAGATATTTAAGAATAATAAGATAAAAGAAAAGATAAAATGTTAACCAGCATCCATTATTTCACTAGCTGCATCTTTGCGGAGGAAATTTAAGAATAATAAGAGAAAAGATAAGGGCCGGCTTGTTTTAGAAAGAAAAAAAAATTTCCCGTTTTCATTAAGTTTCCTGTACAAAATTTTCAAAACAAGAAACAAAATAAAAGCATGACTTTTTTGTGACCAAAAAAGAAACAGATAATATTTTTTAAAACCAAATAACTCATAAAATAGTTGCTGAAGAGTCAAGCCACCACATGCAAAAGAAAGGACAAGCAAAGACATGCCAATATATATTTTCCAACTGCCATCAATGTATAGACAAGAAAACAGTTAATAGGTACAAATAAACTTACTCAGAGCGCATTTATTTTATCCCTTTAAATAAAAAATAGGACATGAAGAAGAAAGAGAAAAAGAGGTTGCTTCCTCTTACCAAAAACTAGAAATAGATTTTGCATATCTTGTCAAAACAAGATGATAATCATGTATTGAAAGATAAAATTAAAAATAATGTAAAATAGTAAGTGTCGAAGTTTAGTTATTTCGGATCGATTCTATATAATGATTAAAAAATTAATAAAAATATTACTCATAATACAAACTAGGTTATTAAAGTAAAAAGGCATCAAAAGTAATTTGTCATCATAAAGTATCTATTAAGTTAAAAGAAAAATTTTGTCATATTATTGTACAATTAATTATCCTACATGATAATAAATATTGAACTTTAAAAGAATAATATAAGAAAAAAATAAGTGTAGCAGAAATGAGAACGTTAAGATAGATAAATAGTTACATAAGAAAAGACATAATAAAAAATAATTATATACCAAAAATATTATAGTAATATCTATAATAAAAAAAACTTATTAAAATAGTTGAACACGTGCCAAAAATGAAGAGTAAATGACACGACTTTTACTCCGATAAAAAGGAATAAAGAATAACTCATAACAACTTTAAAAGAGATCTACTGACAAGGTTTAGTTGTCAAAGCCCACAAGTCATGTTCTCACTTCCCAAATGACATTAATATTGTGTTGGAAAACAGTTCGTAATTTAATGTCATTAGGTTGGGCCTATCTTTCTTGTACTATCGTAGTATAAATATAAAGATAGTAACCAATTTACAACTAAGAGCCTTTAGTGAAGACGTTAACTGGCTAGCGATACCAAACTTATCTGTAAACGAAAATACAACATTCATGCCCTTCTATCTGTATCTAACCTCAAAACCTCTACTAATTAGACTCTAACAAAGATCAGGAAACAAATGTGCAATAAGATGCAATAATTAGACTCTTCTTTTGAGTTAACTCTTGGGGAAGAGTTAGGTCCTATCCATTTTTAATATGACATATAAGACCACTTAGAGATGTCCAGTCCTACATATTTTATATTTCAAATATTTAGTTCAAGGGGGAAAATAGGACAAGCTACTCATTGAGGCATTAATATGATCTAGCCTACATTAGGCTTAGGCCAAAGGATACTTATTTATTAAATAGATTACTCGAATAATAAATAACTTCCATTAAATATGTTGCAGAATTTTAAATAAAATTCCATGTGTCACATTTGAATGAAGAACTTGATGGCAAGGATGTAAGAAACCTGAGCTAAGTTTTGTTATTATTACTACTATTATTAATGTAATCTTTTGATATTATATATTCATTTTATTTTAAGACTTCAATCCACTGATTTACATATCAATTTAGGCCTACTATCTTATTGAAAGGTACGTTGCTTTACCTATTCGGAATATATTGCAAAGTAAGATTTAGGTTTAAATGGTATTTTTGTTCCTATACTTGACTCACATTTGTAAGTTCTTCCCTATATGTAAAAAATTTGTAAATCAGTCTCTGTACATACATTTATTCTCGATTCAATCCTTACCATTAAGTTTAAATTAAACAGTGCTAAACAAGCAAAGGACTAAATCGAGAATAAATGTATATATGCAGACTGATTTACAAATTTGTTACATGGAAAGACTAACTTACAAATATTAGTCAAGTATAAGGATGAATATACAAAACCATGACAATATTATTTTCCTTCCCCAGCTCTTGTGTTTCTCCACTTCTCACTAAATTCCTTTCTCTTCTCAACCACTTCACCATTCTCACCCACAACCACACTTACACCCACACCTCCCCTTTGCTTCCCCCTTCAATTCTAACCCAATCTGTCCCAACAAATGGCTCCAACCCATACCCATACCCATACCCTCCTCTTCTCTACTCAACCATTTAACCACACTCACTCTCACCCACATCCACATCTTCCCTTTTGTCTCCACTTCTAATTCTAACCCGATTTGAGCTAACAAATGGCTCCGACCCATTCCCAAATCCTGATTCCTCATCAAAACCCTCTCTATCCTTGAACGTGCTCTCATTGGAGCTGCGGCGACAGAATTGCCGATGCATTCACCTGTGCATGTCTTCACCCCTCAACACTATCAAAACCAAGATGCAAATCAAAGGGGCCTCACAAATTTATAAAAACAGCCTTGACTCTACCATAATTTAACGTTATTTAGTTTGAACTTAATTGCAGGACTAAATTGAAAATAAATATATGTATAGGGACTGATTTACAAATTTCTTACATGTGTGAACTAACTTACAAATATAAGTCAATCATAGGAATAAAAATATCATTTAAACCTAAGATTTAAAAAAGACTTGCAGACTAGGCCATACATTTTAAAAAGGCCAGCCAAACCTTAAAAAATGACGCATATCAGGTAAAGAGGCCAAGCTCAAGCATTAAATTCAAGACTTGGGCCAGATTCAGCCTTTATGAAGTCTAACTCAGCTAACCCTATTTCCACCCCAATGTCCAAGGCTTGCAGGAGGTCTGTTAAGATGTCCACAATTGATTAAAAATTAGCTAAAATACTCCTGATAAAGTTTGGGCAATTCTCTTCCATAGATTAACTTTTAGGGTGAGCTAGGCTCACTTCATTTTTTAATATAGGAAACAAATCATTGGAATTTATGAAACGTTTTTTTAATTATAAATGAACATCAGAAATGAAACCTAAAAGAAACATTTTCTTAAACCAAAACAGGCCTTTAATAATTTAATTCCGATTTTAAATTTTAAAGACTGTAAAGAAAGATACAAAATCTCACCAAAGCATCAACAATTTCTTCAACTGTGTCATGGCAAAAGCATTTATTTAGAGTTTCAATCCTGAAGGAAAGAAAATAGAAACAAGGGTTATCATATGTTGTGTGTCAAAATATGAGACAAAGAAGCAAAAGAGAGCATCTTGAGAACTTAGGCCCTACTTGACTCTGTTCTTTTCTTTTTTTAAAAAAAATTGTTTTAGAGAAGTGTTTTGCAAAACAAAAAATTAAAAAACTTGTTTGAGCATAATATATTTACAGTTTGAACAAAAGTGGTAAGAGAAAAATATAGAGTCAAGTTCTTCATTTTTTTAACCTATTTGTGAAACAAGAATAAGAAAACATTATAAAGTTGTTCTGATTTTTTGTTTTAAAAACAATTTTCTATCTTAAAATTTTTTTAAAACAATTGTCAAAAGAACATCATTAAATATATATATATATATATATTTTTTTTAAATTAGAAACTGTTTTTAAAAACAAATATCAAACAAGGCCTTGCTTTTTAGTTTCATATTTTGTTCTGTTTTTTACAGAGTTGGATCTCACATAATTTCTCAGTTATTTGCATTATTTCTTCTTTATCCTAAAAATAATGATGATGATAATAAAGACTACCCTTGGAGAAAATGTGAGACAAGTCAAACCTTTGTAGCACACTATTGTTATCTGGGTGTACAGGGTCACCATACTGTTCTAAAGTGGTTTCAATGACGGATGGATCATCAGTTACCAATTTTCCCAGCTGTTCTTCAATTAATGGAAGCCTCTATAGGACAAGACAAACAATGATTTTGAATGTTATAGTCTGAAAAATCTATTCAGATTGAAATAAAACAAGTAAGCAGGGTTTAACAGAACAAAACTGCACATAGTGTATAGTGTGTAGCAAGCCCACAGGTAACCATCTCTACTCCATTGAGCTTTTCCCCTGTTAGAGCCAAGTATTCTCCTGCATACAATAACAAACGTGAATTTCATTCAACCATTTTTGTTAGTGAGAGAAGGATTAACCAATTAACAATTCCTTCATCAATTGATTATCTGTTCTGTAAATACTTGATGCAATAAAGAAGGCTACACATAACATTGGTGTATGACATAATATCATCATCAACGGGAGTAAGAAATAAGAATAACAGTTGTGCTGCAGAAAATCAATATTCACATTTAATTTCATGTATCACTAAGGACTAGGAGTCTATGATTTGTTCCATCATGAATTTGTAAAAATAAGAAAAGGAGAGACTCAATTTGAAAGATGGACCAAGTTATTGCATGATAGACATCCTCCAATAACTAGAGTCTATAGTAGGAGGAATTGAATTAGGGCAACAAAGGCCTCAATATGCAGTTACATAATAATAGAATCTGTTATATAGTTATTATGAATATGAGGGGGGAAAACAGTAACAGAATAATAGAATCTGCTATTAATTACTTATAAATAGGGCTGGAAACCAGAGAGAAAAGAGGAGGAAAATCAGAACTGTGTAGGGACTAGGGAGAGACCTGGATTTGTCAAATATCCAGGAAATCAATTACATTCTTCCTATTCTTGGTGTTGCACCACACTGGGGCAGGATCAAGTTCAGGGTTTTTCAATAATAATACACTCTTTCATTCATATTCTGATTCAGTTTCTATCATTGCACAACTACAATTCCAAGCTGGCTTAAGTACCAATCAAGATTCCACCATAACTAAACTAACACCATCCTTAAGCCGTTCTCTAGTCACCTGTGATTATAGCCAAATTCTTTATACGAAAAGTATTACGGTCAAGATAATTACAACTGTGGAAGGATTGGGTATCATCAAGAGCAGAAAGAAGTAAAACAAACAAAACAATATAGGAAACTAGGAATGTAGCAACGACATCCAATCCCTTTGCATATCAGAGAAGGCTAAAACATAGTTAGCCCTTGGGGAAAAAACAAAAGAGACACTAAAGCATACCCTGTCCCAAAGCAAATTTAAGACCAATGAGACAACTCCAAATATGCATGCAGTTTGCTCCAGACAAATGCACCAAAGAATGGGAAAGGAAGCACAATGCCGTGGAATTTTTCCTGTCTAGCCAAACCTTCAAGCAGAACTATAAAACTGCTTGAGTAGTGGTGTCAGGTGCGCATGCAGTGCAGTATAAAATAAAGCCTGCCTGGCAATGCAGAAATGCTCTGCAACATTTTGAAATTTGATTTGCACGTGATACACAATTCCAAATAAGTTGGGCAGAAGGATTTTTTTATGGCTATGCGATTGAATGAATGATTCAAAAGGGATTTATAGGAGAGCAAGCCAGAAGAATCCAGATAAAGACTTGCAGAAAAGTGATAGACTTGAGTGAAAGGAATTGTAACTCAGTTCAATACCACTGAAATTTCTACTATGAACTAAAGTAGCAATCCAAATTTAAATGAGCTTTTGAAGCCAATGACTACCTGTTAGGGCTACGGTTAAGGATATGGGCTCAAAGAAAGAAGAAATGTATAGGCAAAGAGGGTGACGTGGCAGAGAGGGAATAAGTGGCTAAGGGGGGAGTCCATTATAGTAGTGGGGTTGGTGTGTAAGAGGGTATATTGTCTGAAAATTAAGAAATTAGCTATGGAGGGACGGCATTAGCTCACTGTAGGAGCATAGCTCTGGGCAATAGTACTCATTCTACTGATCTTTTCCTTTTTATATCAAGTAATATCAGCTTTCTTTTCCTCTTTTCCTTGTTTATTTTTACTGGTTTGCATCACTACCACTGATCACCATTACTGGCCCTAATTACTGTTTGCAATGGCAAAAGGCAGCAATCTGTGATGAAGTAACTGTTACAATTACAAAGTGCAAATCTTTGTACAACTAATGTAATTATATTTCCCACAAATTCTGATTGTAGCAAAATTATACCAAGTCTGTTTATAAAAAAGAAGTTTTTCAAAGAGGAGCTTAACTTTGACCAAGAAACACAAATTGTTTCAAACAAACACATTCTAACAATTAAGGCACATCTAATTGTTTAGAAAGTGCATAATACCAGGAAAAAAGTACAACATTAAAGGCCCATTTGTCTAAGCTTTCATAAAAGGTGATTTTAAGAATGTATCAAAAAATGATTTAAGCTTTAGAGATTTTATGAAAAGTAGAAGTATTTTGTTCATTTAAAATTATAAAAAACATTTTTGTTTTAGATAATTTCAACTTTTGAAAGCTGTTCAAAACAACTTCTCAAAAAGAATTAGAAATCTGACTTTTTTCAGATTCTGATTTTTTTCTAAAGCTTAAACAAACACACTAAACGTTTTTAAAAGTGATTTTTTCATGAAAAAAGGTTGAAACAAACAGGCTTATATATCTTCAGGATTATCTAAGTAAAATAAATTAAATAGAATCTCCCTGGTTAGTCCCTATCCATGTGGAGTAATTTTCATAAACTTAAAGCAGAAGATGAGGCATGTACAGAAATAATTATACCTAAGTGACCAGGTAAATGTGAAAGGTAAAAGGATGCTGCAGCATCAGGGTGGAATCCAATATGAACTTCAGGAGTAGCAAAAATCTGCAAAATTGGGGATAAGTTGAAAAGAAGCTTAGCCTATGCAACCAACTGCTGCTTTACACATCTTATCCAAAATGAAAACAAACTTGTAGAAGTTTAAAATTATCACATGTGATGTGTATAGGGTACATACTACATAGCAAATACATTCTGTGAAGACATCCCAAAATCCAAATATGTAAACTACAGTTTCCCAAATTCCTAATAGTCAACCTAATTCCCAAATCACAAATCCCATGTTCCAAATAACTAGTCCATCAATGGTCAAGAATGAGAACAAAGCAGGGTTTAGCAAGGGTTCTATCATGTACATATTCATAAAAGTTTACAGATTACACACAGTTTTGTCTGTTGCAACCCGGAAAGTCCCTGGGATTGAAATTCCTGCCCCACCACCCATGGTAATGCCATTCAGAAGAGCCACCTGCATGAAGTTCATTACTGCATAACTTCTGTTTAATAGTAACAAGCAATTAAACAAGAAAATTGGTTTTAAGTTATCTAACACTTTGCTTCCAGCCAGTGTGATGAATGGGATAATACCATCTCAGTAATATTTTATTTTACAAAATACACATGTAAATGAAATGTTTTATCAAATAATTTTGTTGATAAATTATATAATAGAATAGTGGATAATGATCTTTTATGTCAGAATATCAAGCTAGATATTAAAAGGAAATATTAAATAAATATGTAATTTAATTTGTTGACCAATTAATTTAACCACCTTTCCCATAAAGATGTAAAATACTAAAATTACAATATATTATAGTACTATTCCATTTAATTGTATGTCACTAAAGTATAATACTAAAAAGTGTTTGAATTTACATAAAAGTTGAAGTATAATCAATGTGCAAGTTGTTAATTTAAATTTGCTACACAATTTATGATAAGTATAAATTATTATTCATAAGAAACAGCAGTACGAGTATTTTAGACTTATGTCTAAAAAAGAGAGTAAAAACGACTTATCAGCCTGCAAATGCTGTACTCACATTTGGCTTCAAATATGTACCTATCAGGTATATAAAACTATATATTGTTCTAAAAAATTCTTTACAGGCTTCCATGTTCCCTGCATAAATAGAAAGAAAAAAATCAAAATAACTGCATAAAAACAGACAAAAAATTAAAGCAATTAAAATATATTAGAAAAAGACACATTTAAAACAGAAGGCAGAAAATAACTAAAACCAAATTGGATGAAAAATATCAAACCAAAAGTATGGATGCAACCTAAAGTTTCTTTTAAGCTTCCCTAGGCAGCAAAAATACCAAATATGTTGAAGAGAATATGAGGGGTATTTTCTAGTTTGGAAAGGTACAAAGTAAAGAAGCGAACACAAGATTTAGAAGAATGAGAGGATGCCATTGAACTAATCAATGAATTGTTGCTTTTAGCATTTCATTCTTTTAATTCAGAAGTCAACACACTGTAACTTCTGTTAACTGATTAGTTCAGCTTATTTTGTAGAAATAATAGTTTCTTTGTCAGCTTCCTGAAAAAGCTTTTGAAAAGAAAAAGAATTATTTCCCAACGATAATTGTTTGCTTGCCAAACATGCACATGCAAGACCGTTCCACAGCCTCCACCTATTAGCTTAAGCTCTTAGTATCTGCATTTGATTTAAGGATGTTGACAATATTCTATCTTATTTTACAAGGATATTTTATCACAAAACTATGACAATGGAATACGATTTCGGGGCAGAACTTCAACATCCAGATCTTAATAAAAAAATCTTTAAATTTTACCTTTGTCTATCAAATGGTAAAGGGCAACAATATCTCCGCCAGCTGCAAATGCCCGGCCACTGCCCTTCAGAAAATTTAAAATACTGTGTAAGTTTCTTGTCATTAGAAAAGGGCAAAAAGATAATAGAAAATATATATTACCTTCACCATCACAAAACCAATATCAGGGTTGTCTTCCCAACTCCTATAAAGTTTATGCAGTCTAACCGCCTGAGAAACCAAAAAGTATAACCCAAAATCATGTTACTCCTAAGGTAGTGTGAAATCACAACAAAATCATCTAAAGGCAATGCTAGTAGCAAGCAGCAACACTCTCTACTATTGAGTAAAATCTCACATTGACCCAACTAAATTACTCAAACCTCACCCAATAACAAAGAGAGTGCGGTTAGCATTTGTTATAATATAATAAAAGATGTTGATATGAGTGATTAAAAGTTTAAAACCTTAAGACCTCGAGTAAATATTGGAATCATCGAATTAAAGCTATATTAGCACCCAAATGAGTATATTACCCTTTTTTGTTCTTCACATATGAAAAAGACAAATATTAGGAATTGATTTGTCATGTTTAATCACACAAGCATATTAACAAAACAGATTATAAAATTTCTTCCATCAATTACTATCACCAGTCACAAACACAAGGGGAAACTGAAATAAATAGCAGAACGTGCAAAAAAAAAATAGAAAAATAATGAAAAATAATATTAATAATTAATTCAAAGAAATGAGGAAAGGAATGTAACCATAGAGGTGTTGAGAGCATTAAGAGCAGAGGGTCTATTGAGAATTGCCATTCTGGAGGAACCACTTCCTTCGACCAAAACCTGCGAAATTGTGATTTGTGAAAAACACAGATTCGATGATGATAATAATAATAATAATAATAATAACAGTAGTGAGAACAGTGTTACCTGACTGTGATCGTGGTTATCGAGAATGACATGTTGAGAAGCAGAGAGGTTTCTGTGTGCGTTAAGGCTGAGCCTTGCCTTTCTGAGGAACCACCACACTACCCTTTTGCTCTGCATCATCCTTAGTTATTCCTTTCCACCTTTCACTCTCTTTTTTATTCTCTCCATCAATATAATAATCATCAACATATTCAAAATACATCTTATCTGTCGGAATCTTCATTCATTTTTATATTCAACGGTTAACGTGGGTCAATAAAAAATAGAAGAATCGATCAGTAAATAATTCAACTCGATAAACTAGCATTTGATTGGTTATGTTCTTGCTTGACAAAGATTTAGCTGAAGAGGATCAAAATGTCACAATTTATGATTTCCTTTATTGTTACAACAAGTTCGGTCTTATTTTTCAAAAGTAAAAATAGATTTATAAAAAAAATTACATGTTATAAATTTATTTTATTTTTAAAATATTCATAACAGTTAAATTAATATTTTATATGGATAAAGAATGATAGTTTGTTAGTATAAATTTTATAATAATTAAAAATTTAATAAGTAAGGTATTTAAATTTTTTTAAAATTTATTATCATTAAAAATGGTAAAAGTAGTGTTTTGTCATCTAATTTTATTTTTTAATTGTTTTAAATCTATTTTAATTTTTTGAGTTATAAAATATTTTAAATAAGTTATTTTTTATTATAAATTTTTGTCATTTTTTATCACATATATTATGTATTTCGGTGAAATCTTATTTTTCCTGTTGTTTTTGCTTGAATATTTTTTTTTCATTATTTCATCAAGATCTTATTTTTTCTGCTGCTTCTTCTATTTCATCTTTATTTTCATCAAGCTAGAGGTGCATAAATAATTTTTTACACTCCTTTAAAAGTGAGTTAATTTTGAATTTTCTTTTATTTCTACTTCTTATTATAACAAAAAAAAACTAAAGGAGACATTTGATAGCTATTATTGGCAATCAATGAAATCATTTTAAATCCAATTCAAATTATGAAAGAAAGACGAAGAAAAGATAAAACTTATGAACTCACTTGTCAAGTTTTTATGCAACATATATTTACAAATATTTAGAATTTACTTATTCCTAAATTAAAGTGTACAAGTTAGAGAAATTATATAAGAGGAATAACATTAATGAGAAAAATTCACAAAAAAGTGTATAACATTATTCAGCAAAATGAATAAAATTTGTATCAACTAACACTCAGTTATAATGGCATTGCAAATTAGTATAAATTTAAGCAATAAAAATTAATCAACTCTGAATTTCAGTATTGTAACATGCAGTATTACACTTTTAGAAAACTACGCTTAAGGATAAAAGACAATGAATAAATTGAATCAACAACTTTGAAAGATATATCCAATAATCTTAACAAAAGGAGCAATACCCAATTCAAAAATTGTGAAATTGAAAACACCCATATAAACCGCAGTACACATCAATACTCAAAATATATCCACAAATCATTTCACTGTCTCTAAACCCTAAAAGATTGAACAATTACAAATCAAAACACAAAAAAAAAGGAAGAAAAAAGAAAAGCAAAGTAAGAGGTGAAGGAGTATACTAGACTATACTAGACTTTGTATAAACAAACTTGGTTGGTTAATAATTTTAAAGCTAAGTCTGGTTTATTACCTATAATAGAATATAGACTTTTTATTAAGCTGACTATTTTAAAAGTTTGATTGGATTTATTAGTCTTTTTAATGACTTATTTCGTATTGAGATATTCAATAGGTTATTAAACTTTTTTTATAAATAGGCTATTAAATTATTTTAAATAAATATGTTATATTGAGATATTCAATAGATTTCTCTTTTTTAAAAGGCATTTTTTGACTCTAATGAAAAAAATTATTTTTTTTAATTTAAAATTTTATTATTTTAAAATTTCATTCATTTAATATACTATTATATTATAAATTTTAAATAGACCTAATAGGCTTTTTTTTTTAAGTTCAAACTTAACTTATTTAATTAATTAAAATTTTTAAAAAACTTAAATTAAGTCTAGATCAAGTTAGGCTTTAAAAAAGTTAGGTCGTGAATCCTTGTTGGATGGCTTAACTTATTTTTATTCCTAGTTGTAGATCATAGATCTAAGAAAAATAATGAATAATGCTATCACAATACACATGGCAGAAAATAATAAAAATTTTAATAGAATTAGTTTTTTTAATAGAAAAATGATATATTTAAAATATTTTTACAAGTTAAAAGAGTAAAATAAATAAAAAAAAGTTAAAAAAATTAAAACTTATTTTAAAATTAATGGACAAAAACACTAATTTTATTTTTTTTCATAAATAAAAATAATAATAATTTCTTATTTTTTTCATTGTTATCCTAGTACTTTTTTTTATATAATTTACAAAAATAACTTCTTCAAATACTTCTATTATTATTTCTCATAAATATCATAAATGTATCATGCCAAATTTTGAAATTATTTAATAAAAAAAGCTTTATATGTTAAAAGCTAAATAATGAATAAAAATAAAATTATTTTGTAAGATATTATTATTATTATAAAACAACGTTTATATTTTGATGATATCTTTGCAAATCATATATGAGAATGAATGTAAAGCATATTGATTAAATTATATTAATTCGGTAAAATTAATCAAAATTTTATTATTTATAGCTAAATATAATTACCTAATTGAATTAGAGTTGTTTATTTAAATTATATAATTAGTTAAAAAGTGAAAAATAAATTTTATTAAATTTTCTTCAACTTATTTTATATACACGAGAAGAATCAAATCTCGCTGGTATAAGTTACATTAATTAGAAATAAATTATATATTCCCAAAATCCAATTAGTCATGTTATTATTATCTATTTATTTTTTAAAATAAGTTAAATTTTATTTTATGATATTTTAAAATTATTTAAATAGTTAATTATAAAATCTTTGATTAAAATTAGAGACTTATTATAATTATAATTATATATTATTTATTTTTATTACATTTTGAAATTATTTAAATAGTTAATTATAAAATCTTTGATTAAAATTAGAGACTTATTATAATTATAATTATATATTACATTTATTATATACGTTATTTTTTTTTTTGCTAATATTATACGCGACATTTAAAAATAATTATCTTAAATTTAATGTATATAAACAAGGTTTTGAATAATTTTAGATTAGTTTAAAATCTAAACATGATATACGTTACATGTCATGACCCTTTTTTTTTTATAAGAGATTAATGTCATCACACATCACTACTTCTAATATAAAAATTACATTAACAAGTTAGTACTGGTATATTACAAATAATATAATTTCTTTAAAAAAAGATTTGATTGTAACAAATAAATCAACATAAGAATAAAGCTCCAAAGACATATATATTTAAATATATATGATATATTACAAAAATTATGAGTGTATATACATAATTACAACAGTTGCTTCAAATAGAGCCTAAAATCCAAGGTTCTTGCACAATAATTACATCAAAACATTAGATTTATAGCCAAGTGGCTCAAGTTCATAATAAAACCTAGACTAATCTATATATCATAAAGTTTTCAGCTTGGATTACTCCTCAGTCGGACTCTCCAGCGTGGAAACTGGACGTTCCACCTGTTACTTCTACTCACATATCATCATACGATCATCGCAGTACACACACGCAACAACACAACAAATGCAAGGGTGAGTTTGTATAAATAAGAATCATAACTATTGAGTATAAAAGCATTAAAATCATTTATATAATTCCCATATTTCACAACAATCTATACAACAATTTCAGCCAATTGATACAACATGTCCAGCCCATTTCCAGCCTAACTAATGCAAATGCAGCATTTCAGTTTCAACTGATTTCACAGCCTAAGTAATCCAGAGAAACTGTTCCGGTCTAGGAGCGACCCATCCCAGTATTTGGATCCAGACAAGTACAGCTTAATGTTCTATGTAGCTCTAGAATAATAAAAATGAATGTGATGCAGCACATTTAAATCAATATAATACAATAGAGTTAAATCTAATCTCAGCTTCAACAATACAACAATGCATATATTTTCATCCAGCATTGACAACACAGCTATACATATATTCTCACGGCAAAACCAAGCATTTTGCAATATTAATTAAGCATTTCAATACATATTATACAATGAAACTAAACAACTCAAAACATAACTTGAATATTTTTGCGTATATTAAAATCCTCGGCATATATAACACAATATTGCAACACATCATATTCCACCACAACATTCCAGACAATTATCATACAGTAGAGAATATACTCAACCATACATACTTTGGGTTTTTACTCTAAAGCTTGTTCATACAACAACTCATCATCAACTTAAACGAGATTATCTACCACTTGAACCAAATCAGCTTAGTTAAGCTCTCCTTACTTGAAACAAGTTTCAAGATCTTGCTCCTAATGAACCCTGAAGAGATAGATCAAGCATTTGAGTACGAAATACGGCCCCAATGGTTCAGATTTACTAAAGACGACAAAGTATAAATCTCTTGAAAAAGAGAGAGAGCAAGAAACAAGAATAAGGACCAAAACTGAGCTCCAAAAACTTACCTAGATCTTGATGAGATAGACGATCTCACTTTGATCAGGAAGGATTTCGACTTCAAGAAGGTTTTATCTAAGGAGAAAAAATGAGAGAATAGAGAGAAAATGAGAGAGAAAAACTATCTGGTGAGAAATAAAGTTTCTGGATGATGAGGCCCCCTTAAATATCCCTACAGTCCTCGCGCTCTCGCTTAAGCGAGCTAATTCTCGCTTGAGTGAGATATGCTCTCGCCTGGGTGAGCTTACCCTCGTCTAGGCAAAAAACCAAACAGTGAAACCTCTCAAATTTCTGCTATTCTTGCTTGAGCGAAGAACACCTCGCTTGTGCGAGATTCATTTCGTCTAAGCGAGCAGCGTTCTCGCCTGAGCGAGATCGGGTCCAGAGAATCACCTAGTTTTCCTGCTACTCCTCGCCTGAGCGAGCTTCTCTCGTTTGGGCGAGGTCGCCTCTCACTTGAGTGAGATCCCTTCTTGCCTGGGCAAGAGAACAGTTGGAGAGATCTTATCTTGTCTCGCTTGAGTGAGAACACTCTAGAATATTCCATTCTACACAGCTCAGTCTTGCTTGAGTGAGAACTA